ATATAGAGAGAGAGAGAGAGAGAGAGAGAGAGAGAGAGAGACAACTAACAACAATAAAATACCCTGTAATTCCAGCAGTGAGGAGGTTGAAGCAGTGTGGCTGTGAGCTCCAGGTCAGCCTGAGCTACAGAATGAAACTCTGTCTCAAAAAATAATGCCAGGTGTGATGGCATACACCTTTAACCCCAGCCCTCAGGAGGCAGAGGCAGGCAGATCTCTGTAAGACCAAAGCCAATATGGTTTTCACAGTGAGTTCCAGGGAGACACTGTCTCAAAAATTACGGCCCTGTCATGAAACACCAATAATAATAAAAGAAAATAGAAAAGGAATTCTTATGTACATAGTTGATCAAGAATTTAATTTGCCTTAGAGAATTTAAGAAAGTAACACTGGGCTGGGGGCTTAGCTCAGAAGTGGGATGCTTGTCTAGTATGCTGGTGAGGCCCTAAGTTTGAACCCCAGCACCACAAGGAAATGAAAAAGGTAATCTGTACCGGGTGCAGTGGTGCACACTATAGCCCCAACCACAGGTTTTGCTCTGATTTGCAGGTGAAGTAGTGACTTGGATGTTAGGTGGTGTCTGTGCCTGAGAGATACAAAATGCTTGAGATCTTTTATTTCTCATAACCAAACTGTGCTGGGGTTAGCCCAGATTATTTTCACCTTCTAACACAACTAAGACTACCACACTTTAGAAAAGGGGGCTGGAAAGTATGTGCTGAGACTTCCCAGCACAGAGCAGTGAGCATGTAATCCTAGCACTTGGGAGGATCACCAAGGCCAGATTGAAATACAGTATTCAGAACCTATTTCAAAATAAATGACTTTAAAAACAGAGAACTGGGGGCTGGAGAAATGGCTCAGCAGTTAAGAGCACTGACTGCTCTTGGAGAAGACCCGGGTTCAAGTCCCAGCACCCACATGGCAGCCATGAACCATCCTTAACTCCAGTTCCAGGTGACTCTGAAGCCCTCTTCTGACCTCTGCGGCGTTGCATGACACGGGTGCACTCACATGCACTCAGGCAATACACTCGTACACATAAAATAAAAATAAAATATTTTAAAAACAGAAAAGTGTATGCCCAGGACAACTAGCAAACACAGCCACTAGAAATGCAGCAAGATCTGCAAGGACCTTGGAGCTGCTCTGAGAAGTCACTGAGTTTCTGCTAATTCTGATGCCTAGCCTGTATTCATCTCCATTCACATTCACTGCAAACTGATAAATACATGTGCCCCAAGCACATTGGCCACCACAGCCCAGCACTTGCCTGGCAGACTTGGCTCGCACACTCCATGCACTGGCCTTAAGCATGTGCTTTCCTCTTTATTCCTGTGCTGCAGCCACAGTGTACCAGCGCACAGTAGGCACCCAGGGACTCTGCTTATATGACTACGTGAATGAGGGAATGAATATTTCTCAAAATTTATGCACTCTAATCTGTTATTAGCTTCTAAATCTATTTAGGAGGTATCTATCATCATTTTTATTTATTTATTTATTTATTTATTTATTTATTTATTTATTGGTCTTTTTGAGACATGGTCTCCCTGTAGCCCCAGCTGGCCTGGAACTCAATATGTAGACCAGGCTGGCCTTGAACTCACAGAGGTCCCCCTGCTTCTGCCCACCAAGTGCTAAGATTAAAGGCA